AGGGGAGCGGGGGAGGGAGGGAAGGAGAAGAGCGGGGCATGAGGCAGCCTGGGCTCCACCTCGAGGTTCTCCTGTTGCCTGAACCCAGGGACCACAAGTTTGGGGTGAGGACAGCAGAATTCTAGGCCCTGCTCCGGGGCATCTCCAACAGGACTTTGTAAACTGGTGATTGGATGGCCCTGCAACTGTGAGAAGAACTTAGTCACCCTTACCGTGGTGTCTTCCGTCTGCAGGGGGATGAGGTAGGCTAGGTGGACTTCAGGCCAGTAGGCCTTGCGTTACCAGGTTTTAGATGCCCTGTAAGGGCCCTGGCACAGCTGTGTAGGGACTCAACAGAAAGGTTTTTGTTTTTAAATTTTATTTTGTTTTGTTTGTTCACACTGAGATACATCCAAAGCCTTTTTTATTTTTTATTTTGCATCAGGGTCTCGCGAAGTCTCTAAGTTGTTCAGGCTGGGCTCAAACTTGTGATCCTCCTGCCTCAGCTTCCCAGAGGGCTGGGATTACAGGTGCATATGAACTTTGCTATTTTTATTATAGGTGCTAAGCTTCTTCTACACTTTACAATGATTTGTAAGTGGATCCTTTCTCCTAAACCCCATAGGAACAGCGACAGGAGCAGCAGCAGCCCTTCCTGGGTCCCCCCTAGGGGCAGGCACTGTCCTGGCCCTTTGTTATGAGATGAGCTCTTACAGCCTGGCTGAGTGGCTGAGGGGGGTGGTCTGAGGGGGTGGGAAGTACGGGGGAAGAGGGGGAGGGGGAGAGTGAGGGTGGGGAGGGTGGGGGAGGGGGCCTCCGAAGGTTTGGACTGGGAATAAACACATCAGCCTTCCCATGCTTCCTTTTGGCCAAAACAAGTCCCAAAACCAATCTCAAGAGCTAGAGACAGACCTTGTTGTCTGGGAGACCCAGAGGGAGGACCGGACAGCTTGGGACACTCTGCAGCGTGCGTGTTAGGTTAAGGATCTGGAAGAGTTGCAAAGTGCGATGAAAAGCAGAACACATGGGTTTTAGAGAGGTTTGCCTTACGTATTTTAATCTGGTATTGTCTGAATTTCTCTTTGGGAATAGCCACGGTGAGTGAAAGCATTGCATTGTGGACATCTCCGAGCATGCAGTACACAGCGAGACCTCTCAAGGACCCCGCGTCCCCCCGCCTGGCACCAACACGCTCAGCCGGGCCCTTTCCTTCTCCATCACGCAAACACGATCCCAGCCATTGCATCCTCTTGTCCAGAAGTCTGTCAGTGTGTGTCTCCAACAGAAAAAAATTTTTTAAAAAACTTAATTGAAGCTGGTCACAGTGGCCTACACCATAACGGCAATACTCTGGGAGGCTGAGGCAGGAAGGTGGCAAGTTACAGCCCAGCCTAGGGAGCTTAGCAGCTTAGGGAGATCCTGCCTCAGAATAGAAACCAAGAAGGGGTTAGGGAACATAGCTCAGTACAAAGGCCTTGGGTTCAATCTGTAGCTACACACACACACACACACACACACACACACACACACACACACCACCAAACCAGCCCCTCAACCCACAACGGGAATATCACATCCAACGACATGGACAATAATTCAAAACACCACCTAATGATCTATGATCAGTTTTTCCTGATTTTCTGAAGAGCGCCTTCTAGTCACTTATGTGTGAGAAATGGGTCCAAACAAGGTTTGCAGCGGCATTTGGTTGAAATGTTTGCTATTCTTCTAACCATAGAACAACTATTTTTGGAGGATGAGAAGCAGAAGTATTGAAACAAAAAGTTATACTGTCTTTGGTAAATTACTCAAAACTGCACGTCCCCACGGGAGGAAGGTGCAGGGGGGGCGCCGGCGTCTACACGGCGAGGCCGCACAGCCCTTCTGCCCCAGCTTGGGCGCTGCACACACCCCACTTTGTACTGCTCGGCTCAGATTGCCTGGCTGGGTTCCGGAGGGAGCAGAGCCTCCTGGCTCCATCTTGCCTGAGCCGGGACCTCCTTCCTGTCTTTGAAAAAGCAATGATGAGATTTGCAAATCACACATCTGATGAGAGATTAGTACCCCGCAT